GAGAAAAGGCCTATTTAAATATATCTTTTAATTTATTTTAAATTTTGTATATTTGTATCAATTGCTCTGTTTTTTAACTGGCTGTAAGCTGCCCTGAGTCCACCAGGAGAAAGGCGGGGTATAAATACAATAAACTGAAACTGAAACTGAAAACTATTTACAATGGATATTTTCAAAAAGATCCTAGTTTTTACCTAGTTTTAGATCTTTTCTCAACTTTCTTTTCTAAAGATTATTTCCCTCTAAATATTCTCCTAAATGCTTAACTTCTTCCTCTTTCCGTTTGTCTGCCTTACCCATTTCTGGAATTATAACAAGAGAATTAAAGGAAGGAATGTGCTGGATTTATGAATGAATGTGCTAAATGCTATTAATCTTCTTTCCTTGAATCTGTTCAGCTAATCATCATCTGCATCTTCTCTGTTAGGCGATGAACCTCTCTTGGGAATCTTTTTCTTATTCTTTCCCCAGAGACTAGGGCTTTGTCAAAGACTCCAACACTCTGTCCATAGCCAGCCAACTCCCTCCTAACCATATGCCATCTCTGGGACTTTGCTTCTATTCCTCCAGGCAAGTCACCTGTTGACTTTTCTTCTCTCTCTCTACTACTACAAACTAACAACTGCTCCACACACATCAACATTTCCTCTGGTTTTTCTTCTCCAGCCATTCCCTTCTACAACAGTCTTTGTAATTGTCATTTTGTCTCATTTCTCCTCTATTTTTCCCCACTCCTCCTCACGCTTGCTGTCCAATTTTGGATTAAACTAGTAGCATGTTGTCCATCAACTAAGGAGATGAGTATCTTCATCCCAGAGATCTTGTTCCCCACACTTATATGCAAGGCTTGCCCAATGTGGCAATGATGTCTATGCCTGCCCCACAACAATCCTGGCCAGCAGCCAGGTCAACACATCAGTCCTTGGGACTGTATACCTATACTTCAAGGCTAGAGTTGAGTTTCTTCCCTTTTTCTCTCTCCATTTGCTCATGCACCAGTACAACAACTACCCCAGACCACTTAAAACATATGCTACAATGTCATTACCCTTCTTTAGGGTGACCATTCTTCAGAAACTTTGAAGATTTGTAAAATTTCTGTCAATTGCTATAGCTGATAGACGTCATCTAGTTTCTCCCCTATTCTCCCCACAGCTATTGTTAACTGTGTTTTCTTGCAATACTTTCAGGATTTTCTGTCCATATTTTTCTTCTTTTGTGTATTTATTGTATTGTTGGTCTTTTTGTGTGTGTTTGGTCTTGGATCATAAATAAATTTTAACTTGACATAAAATATTAGTTAAAGAGCAGTTCACTGACACAAAGTGGGACCCAGCTCCATGGGTAAATGTGAAATGAACAAATGTGAAATGATAAAGTAAATTAAGTAGGACAAAGATAGGAATGAAGAATGAAACATTTTTGTAGTTAAGGGGTCAAAGCTTAATCCAAGGTCATGAACTGATAAATGGATGTTATGAGAAAACCCTAATGCTATTGATTTTAGAAAAATCATAGCATTCATTAATGAAAAAATAGTATGAAATATGCAATACTTTTAAAGCATTTAAGAAATAATGAATAATGGTTTATTTTTCTTTAAAAAATCAGATACGATGTTAACGAATTACGATCTAATGTTAACGAAAATCTTTTCATATTATATTCATACAGAGAAAATGTGTGAAGAGATAGGTCTTCATCAAATATCTACAAAATGCCAGCAGTAGGGACCTTGCTAATTTCAAGAAAAAGAGTAGTACAGATTGTAGAGAGAGAGCATGTCTATCCATGAGTGATTATAAAGTGATATTCTGTGGTAGTGGGAAAATACAATACAATATCTTCCAATTATCCTAGGGACTGAGTAAGCCTGTAATAGTACAAGCATTCTATCAAGCTCCCTGTCCCAAATTGTTTAATGCTTTATATGTCATAACTAAAATATAGCTTGATATCTAATTAGCAGCTAGTACAATTTCTTCAACAGAAATTTAACATGTATATGAACAAGCATTCTACTCAACAGCATGGCTGCTATATTATGCCTAGTTGTAACATTCAGATCAAGGGCAAGGGCAAGGATCCTATGAACAGTACGTTAGAAAAATGAAGCATAAAATTGGCAATACATGCACAACAGTAGCTTGGTTGGCTCTGTTCAGGAAAAGGCATAATTAGTGCATGTTCCACAGATGTTATTAGGACATTCAATGATGCCACTGAGTTTATGAGTACATTCAAATGACAAACAAATTCTTGTTGAGGGATTGCAGTCAGTTGAGAATTTGGGAACTGCTAACATGGTCTTCCTCTTGCAAAGATTTAATGTGAAATTTTTGAGGTCACTGATGTTGATAAAAGCTGTTTTTCTGAATAAATCAACTATAATTCTGAGAGAAACATCTGCTGTAGGAAAGAGCAATGGCAAAAGCCAATGGGGAACATTATATATGTTATTTAAATAAAGCTATTGTTAAATTTTACAAAAACTGTTGTTATTAACACATGGGCATTGACTTCACAATATTAATTTCTCAAATATATTTTCCCCAAAATATTTTATCCTCATAGGACAAAATTGTCTGAACATAGAGACAGCCTCTTCAGGAATGAACAGATTACCGACTCCTTTAGAGCTGGTGGAACTATCCCATTACATAATACATCTACAACTCTCTGTATCCATCCAGAGAATAGGTAATACATTACAAACATCTTGCTCATATTCTATGAAAACTGAAAACAATCCTACTCATTTATCCCAGTACAATGCGTAACAAAAGCAGATTTTCAAGGAGCATGAAAATAAATTATTCTATCCTCAAAATGTCTCACAAATGTGTCACAATGGCTGCCTGAGGACTCCTGCACTGGGCTTTACAGAGTAAATTACAATAAGAAAAAAATATTTATTTATGGTCAAGAAATTGACTACTCTAAAGAATTATGGCTAGCTATCTAAAAAGGCAATGGAGGATACAAAATAAGCCTTTTTTGCAGCCCTTGTTGCCATTTAGCAAATATAACTGAATATACTAAGCCAAACTCAGTCAAGATAAATTTGTACTATACACAATTCAGTTATCTATTGGCTAGCTTTATTTCCATCTCCAGAAAATCTGATGTGTGTGTGTGTTAGATTTCACATTGTTAAAGAGGATATTTAGTGATTGTCTCAATGGATCTTTCAGGGTCCAGCTACAGTACATATATAAAAATCCTAAGCAAATGAACCTATCATCTTAGAAACTGAGGAGCCTAATGTACCATGAGGCAATAGATACAGGCCTTTGCATTCTTGATATAATTGTAGAAAAGTGAAGACCATCTAGGATTGGGAATAAGATCAGATCTGAGTCAAAATCTAAAAAACAAATCTTTGCAGAGCCCAACCTTAATTAATCAGGTCTATTATGAGATGTCCCTGGATGGGATGAGAAAGTACTTGGCCAGTGGCATCATTTCTAAAATTGTACTTTTCCTGACTCTCAGATGAAATGTGACATCTGCTACCCTTGAACCTGATATTTTTGGGACTGCTTGCTGGAACTTTAATTCTTATCATGAATTAGAAACATTATTACTGCTTGGTTCCCTGCTATTCTCAATCTCAACTTTCAGGATGATGTACAATTTATAAGCATTAATATCTCTGTGATTTACAACCCACTTGTTTGCAGTTCACTGAACTGAGTTAAGCTTTGAAAGGCCCTTCTGTTTTCTTAGTCCATATATCAACAGGAACATTAATAGAATAACTGATTCTTGCTTCAGGAAAATACACTAGAAATTCAAGAATCCATCAGATTTCATAAATCTCTGGAGTCAGGTCATCTTAATAGCTTCTCGTCTGGAATGGGGAAAATGAAACTGTGAAATGAAACTTCATCAAATAATAATCTAAGCATGGCTCCTGGATATACTAACTTCCTTAATATCCATGCCAAAAAAAACCTCTACATCTAAGGTGTACCACATCCCAAAAACCATTTGAAAACTTGCTACAAAATTATACTTTTTACAGTGACATTGGGAAAGCAATAATATTAGCTGTATTAAATTACTTTGGTCTAAATTAAAGTTTACCCTCAAATTAAATCAATTTTTATTTATTTCTGGTCTCGTTAGTTGTTTTGGAATGTAATTCCTGCTATACATTAAGTGTGATTCTTGATCCAAATGAAGGTGCATCCTGATCTAGGCTGCACTCATATTGATACTCCCATATAACAATTAATACAGGCCAAGTAATAAATGTCAATATAAGCACACACACACACATGTATCACAGTATTATTAAGCACACAAAAGTAACCTGTTATAAGGTGATAGTTTACAATTTAAACTGATCTAAGTCACATATTTATTTAAGTGAATTTCGTAAGCTATCTTCACTGAAAGACATTCATCCCTGTTAACATTCTTGCTGCAGCTATATATCAGAAAACAGCTAATGGTTAATTAATAACCGATTCTTTGACCTGCAGATGCAGTAGCAAGCCTCTACGTAACAAGAAAGTTAACCTTACTTGTTTCTTACTGAATGCAGAAAGGTTGCCACCACCATGCTACCACCTCGTCATATAAGAGGTAGCATGTCTAGTCTGGGAACTTAACCCCGCCTACTACAATATTATGATGATTCAACCCAGTGGCGAAATGAGAAACCGGATTCTTCACTTCCTCTTTTCTGCAGTGCTTTTCTAAGCGGCCACTGGCGCTGTCCGTGGTGCTGATGACCAGCCCGTGTTAGTTCCTACTATTGCACTAATTGTATTTGAAGCAGCAATATTCCCAACGAAGATCTAACCAATGGAGCGAGGGCGGGGAAGCGCGCGCCCCCCCCCCTCTTTTCTGCTTCTTCCTCCCTCCCTGAAAGTCATGAAAGGGATCTTAACCTGTAATTGGGACGCATGAGACTCCGCGCCTTTCCCAATCGGGTCTCCTGATTGTATACAACTACAATTGCTGCCTGATTTTTTTTTTGGGGGGGGGGAAGGAAGGAAGGAAGGATGGCAGGCTGCAAATCTGTCTGCCCACCCTTGCCAATGGAAGACTCTCCTTCCCCCCCCACCACCACCTCCCGAGCCCATCTCTACCCCAGCGCTCACCTGCTCAGCGCCCTGGAAGCAGATCTTGCAGATGGGGCCGGCACCGCCCCCGCCGGCTTCCCAGCTGCTGTTACTACACACCGAGCGGGTCTCGGATTTCTCGCTCTGGCCAGTCCCGCCTTTCGCCGAGCGGCTACTGGGGCCCGGCCCGGGCGGGACTCCAGTGGCTTTCCCAGCTGCTGTCCCAGGCGGCACGGAAGGCGAGGTGGTTTTTTGCTGCGGTAGCTCCCCGCCGCCGGGGCTACCAGCGTCTCCCCCACCAGAGTTCATGGGGGACACTGGTGTCTGACAGCCCCCCTTGTCGCCC